TGCCAGAGAGGAACTGTGAATGCAAAGGATGCGAAATGAAAAGCCACCAAAAGCCACATAAACCCACGAATGCCACAAAAGCCAACAAGCCGAAAAGCCACCCACCCTGAAAAACAAAAAAACAAGTAAAAAAAAAAAAAAAATGGTCCTCTTTTAACGTCGCAAGACCACACGCATCCGATCACTCCGCTTCAGCCTGCGCTAGCTTGAGCTCCTTCAAGAGCCCAACCAGCAGCAAGGACCTGCAAGCCCGCAAGCTCGACATCGTTGCCGAAGCCGCGCAGATGGAAAGTTGTCGCCGCGCCTTACTCCGCGACACCTGGCCGGCACCTGCAAGGCAGACAAATTCTGCAAGTACTCATGACCAAAAGAAAACTGCAGGTGCCTCGCCTCCAATTCCTCAGGATGGGTGTTGACATAGTATAATGCATACTGTTTCAAGTTGGAAACGTACCAAACTAAGCAAAATTAGTACTCCAAGAAGGCTGTTTCATCCCCAACAACCTCACAGCTCAAGAAGGAAATGCGTCAAGCACTGCGAAGGCCAGACATATTTGTTTGCATGGTCTCTCTGCCTGCCTGCCTGTCTGTCTGCCTGCCTGCGATGCATGCATGTATGCATAGCATTCCAAGATATAGGGGCACTTGTGGACTCCAAGGTGCATCTAGAATCTAAAATGATAAGGAACTGCAAGGACTTGCACTCCAAGCGGCAGAAGGCATCCTGCAGTAGTCATGCAGCCAGTTCCACTGAGCCGAGCGTATTCCGGTTCATGTGCTATGAAACAGCGGCGATTCTGTGTGCCATAATCAGAGCCAGCAACAATGCAATTCATGCTTCTGAAGTCTGCAGCCGACTCAGTTGTGATGCGCTGCATTTCTTTGGAGCAAGTTCTCATAGATTGGCCACTGGACACGTTCTGGCAATTAACAGGTGATCTTAGATTGGCTGTTTTTCTGGTGATGCAAGAGGTGCAAATGCCAGGAGTCTCTCTGTTTGGTTGACAGGGTAACAAGCGCACCTCGGACACCACTGCTCTGTTGGGAAAAGAGAAGGCAGAGAGAATCACCATGAGAAGAGAGCAGGGGAAAGAACTGGCGAGCAAGTTGGAAGAGACAGAAGAACAGAGCAAAGGGCTGCAGACGAGCAGGGATGGGGCGAAGAGAGGAGCAAAGGGAAAAGCCCGAAAGTGGACAGATGTGCAAAGAAAAGAGCAGAGAGCAAAGCAGGGAGAAGAGTTGGAGAAAACAGGAAAGAGGAAAGCAGGAAATCCAGAGGAAAGGAGCAGAAAGAAAAGCGCAAGCAAAGAGAAACACGAAGAAAAAAGCGACAAAAAGCAGAAAGAACGCAGATTCTGGAGAGCAGGAATGGAACCCTTGCTTAAACGCCTCGATCAGATTCATATCGCTTGGGAAAAGCAGCAATCCCCACACATCTTCTCAAGGACAATGTGCACCAGCAAGTGCAGTCTGGGGACAACCGTTCACGATCTGCATGCCGCGTGCCAACTCCTTTTTTAAGCTCTGCATGCCTGCATAAGATGCTCGTCAGCAGACTCAGGTAAACAGTGATCTCTTCTTGGAAGATGATAGATGAAGAAGCTGTGCAGCGATGAATCTTGACTCATATGGAACGGAATCCAAAAAGGAGCGAGTCTGACAGCAAAAACTATATGTTTGATAGATGCCTCACATTCGCTACTTGATTCCCTGATTCCCCGCCGTCAGCTGTTCAGCGATATGCCTTGTTCAGGCCAAGCGTGGCATACGAAGGAATGCTGCAACGGTTCTGTGCCATGCACGGCCAACTGTCTTTGAGTCAGAAGTTGCCTTTTGGGATTGCAGGTCAGGCCGGTGAGGCTTCAATCTAGGGCAAGCAACACGCTCCTTCAATATACCCAAGCACTGCTCAAACAAAATTAGATATACTTTGGCGCTTGAGGTGAATGGGATTTCAAAAACACTCAGCGATGTCGATCAGAAGCTACAAATTTGGCAAGGAATCTTCAAATCACAGCGCCATCTGAAGTGTGCCACAAGACTCTGCGAGATGCCACCAACACACGTAGAACCTTTTTCATTGAGGCCTGAGGGCGCGCCTTGGAGCAGCTCAATGGTTTGCACTGAGCACTTCGAATACCTTGAAGAAAACTCGACGTCACGAATCGGAGGGCCAAAGGTCTGCCCCCTCGACCTGCGACTCTCTCTTGTGGGTGTCCAGCCACTAATTTGTGGACTGGCCCTTCCGTCGGAAGATAGGTCCACATGAAAGCGGACACACAAACGTACCGGATTCCGAAGTGCCCGGATCAACTGTCGGGGTCAGTGTGCCAATTCCGTACGCTGCAACATCTGCAACTTTCTGTTGCTTTGACCGGCACCTCATTTCTGACTTCCTGGGTCGTGATTTAGCATACTGCGGCATACTGCGCTCACAGACCTTCCGCACCTCAGAAGGCAATCCTGCAAGCCCCAAATGCAACTTCGAGCCCGATTGCCAACTTAGCCATGCCAGAGCCAAGCAAATCCCCTTGCAGTTTAGGAACACAGCTCGTCAATCTCCTCCGTACTGTACTCACGGTGGCCAAACACATCCTCAGCTTGGTCTGGTGACAACCGAGAACCACAAAAGCAACGTAGCCATGTAGGCTTCTCCCCACATGGGGTATTTTCCTTGAAGATTCGTTTGCACGTTGGAGCGGACATGGAAGATGCAAACCAACACATTCTGACGACAAGGCCAATTGATCGGTGGCCAACAAATAGAATGTCCTGTTGCGTGCCGTCACCTGTAATTCCATGCACTGTGCGATGTGTCTTGCAGCCAGGAGTCTTCATGACTGGTTGAAGCCCCGGCCCGCATTTGACCCAATGCCAGCAAGTTGAGCTGTGACTGCAGCCTTGGCAATTTCCACAACGGCTGCGAATGTATGATGAGACAACCCGGAAACACTTCAGGCTCCTCTGCAGTTACGAACACAGCGCCTAGGGTGTCAAAATTGCTACATGACAGTTCGGAGAATGTTGCGCACAAAGCTCTGCTCTCAAACACTTTCAAAGAAGAGACGTGTTAACGTAAACCAACAGCACTCCTCACTCAAACCACTACATGAGGGTTTGTGCTTCTCGTTCTTCAGGCTTGAAGAGAGGCAATGGATAGAAAATGACGCTCCACTTGCACTTGGACACGCACCACAATATTCACAGTCAAAGAGTGCCAAGAAGCACACCAGCAAACCACAAGGGAAGAATACATGGCGCCCATCAAATAGGCAAGGCATGCGTGCATCAAAGCAATGCAATCACCAAGTTAACCGCGATACTAAGCGCGATTAATGCTGCTAAAGAAGTGTGCGCCGCAGTGCTGGCACCCAAAGACCAAGTCAAACGACATCGCTGCATGCTGTCCGCATGGCGTTTCGCAGCACTCCAGGCAGCATTCGGCCTACCAACAGCCCACAAATTCCGCATTGGGCGGCGATTTTGGGACTTCGTTTCAATTGCCGGGCAATTTTCGTGGAGAGTTTCGGCGGGGGAATGTGCGGACCGTGGGAGAGCAGGGTCTGATTCGTTGCCTGTGGGTCTTTCCGTCTATCACCCCAAGCGCAGCAGAAGTCGGCGGAATTAGGCTCTAAAGTACTTACGACTGATGAAGGAATGCATCTGGCTGCAAAGTCTGTGAATCAGGCAACGACTTGGTCCCAGGACAAGGCATCCAGGCATAAACGGTTCTGTGCGAGAACACCATGGAGCCCAACACACAGACTCAAATTGCATGACGGTACCGGCTACACTATAGGAATTCTTTAAACAAAAGAAGAAGTTCTCAACAAAAACAATAGGAAGCGGCCAAACCTCCCTTGCCCCCCTCCCTCAGACTCGCAGCATCCAGTGCAAAACACTCAACAAGTGTTGCAATACAGCAGGCATCGAGTTGTGATCTTTCCTCTGTGTCGCTGCTTGTTCTGCAGTGATCCTGATTGCCTTGCTTGCAATCTATCCTCCTGGTGTTCCGGTTGGTGTTTGAGCTGACCTCAAGCTTTGCCCGGTCCATTCAGGTCCAATTCATGTCCGGTGACCAGCGGTTGATGCGCAGGTCATCTGGTGCTTCAGAGCCCTGAGCGATTCAGGTCGCTCCTTGTTGACATCCATCGGTTCTGCAAATCTGAAACGCAACGTTGACCTTGGTTTCACAGGCTCTGTGCGGGGTCTTTCTTTTGCGACAGCCTATGGGACGCGGAAGGATATTGCTCTGGTCGGCTGACTAAATCTGGAGTCTGTCACTGTAACTAAAACTATGATTCACGTTTTCTGTTTGGCTATGCAACTCGAAATTGTTGCAGTCACCACTGCTGTGGCTTGCTGCTTGCAAATGTTGCCGGGTTCATCTCAGCAGATGTACCATATGGCCCGTCCTGATGATGAATCGTACGAGTCTTGAAAGTTACCCGGTTCATCTGACGGCACGGCGCGCCCTGCGTATTGAATCTGGGCATTGAACGCTTTTCTGTCGAGCATGGGCTACAATATCTTCTGTTCAACCCGGGACCACGAGAGAGTTTTCATGCGCGCCCAAAGCTGCGGCAAGATCTGCCTTGCGCTTATCATTAACCATTGCACTGCTATTTCTTGTGCCGGTTCTCCCGCTGTGTTGGCTTTTCTGCGTCCGCACCCTGCTTGATTAGGCCTATAGCAAACGAATCTTGCTAGCAATCGACTTCACTGCGATCTCTGCCTTGGCTCCTGTTAAGCGGCGCTGTAGTTGCTTGTCGTCATGTGCCTTTTGAATACGGTGTCTTCTTTTCGCAATGACGCGCGGCGTACTCCGACATGGTCGGTCTCAATGCCACATCTCACTCATCCTGTAAAATGGCGTTGCTAAACAGATCCACACTCCTACACGCTACTGTACCCCGGCCCTCAAGAAACAAATAAAGCAGGTTGACATGGTTGAACAAAAAGCTGCGCGTTCAATGCTTTGGCATTGATCTGTGTGCACAAGCAAAGCGCTTGGCCCGGCACGCGTCCATCTTCTTTTTCAGCACCGCAACTTCGTCTGCCAAGTCCATGGGCTCTTTGCTATCAGCCTCCGCGTGCCATGAAGGGTACACATCGGCAATGCGGCTCAAGAGCAATTCTGGACGCCGTCGGCCGTGCCATTTCTACACAACCAAACTGGGAAGCAAGAGAGTACTTCAGGGAATGTTTGGTGCCTGAACTTTCTCAGGTGGATCTTTGTCCTTCTTCTCCCCGAGATGTCCAGGCTCCGTCTGCTCATTGCTTTGCCCCTCAAACCTCAGCCGCGCAAACTGACCCTTTACATGTTTGGCCCGTCACTGCATCTGAGCAGCACAAACCGCTTCTCGGGGCTGTTAAAAGTAGGCCAGCACGTGCCGCGTCGGACCAAGTCCTCCCGCATCTTTGCCATGTTGAAGAAATTGGCCTTGTCACATCTAACACAGGAATTGTTCATGTCACCGGATATGCACGCCGACGCTATCGGCAAGTTGGGCCGGTCTACCAACAAATCACATCCGGCCGGCCTTGTCAGAGTCTTTTTCGAGGCTACCATCATTGAACCTCGGCAGTGACACAAAAATCCGAATTGTGGGACGCAACTCCTGGGATGGCATTTATAGTTCATTTTTTGAAGCCTCTGCCAAGCAGCTGATGCTCCCAGAAGTCCAGGCCAATCAGCTCGCACGCACGGCTGACACGGAAGCCCGCAATCAGGTCGATGAAACTGGCAAGCATATTGTCCGAAATCCTGCTGTCTTGCAACCGTATCTTACTGAAGCACAACTTGGCATTTGACAGTCTTCAGCCCACCGGGGGCGTGAAACCATGAGTGAGGCAAGTTCTTCAGCCCTGGAGTCAATCTCTCTGATGGCAGCAATGGCCACGTGGCAAGTCACCGCATAGGTGAGCCATGCAAGTGATCGCGAGTGTGGTCAGAGCAAGAACACTGAGAGGCGAATAGTCTCACCCAATTTCAAGAATGTTCTAAAGATCAACTGAGGACACATCAACGCATGATGAGATAAGTCACTTTCTCAACAGCAAATCACCTATTCAGCGTGACAAGGCACACCACCGACACGTACGTGACCGCGATGCCAATGCCAGAAAGGACTACTATCCCCAGCAGCTGCTTCCCCAGAAGAATCCAACTTTCTTCACCACCACCTAGAATCGAGTCCGGCTTCTGACATGATTGCAAGACTGCGCTGCAGTGCCTTCCACAATGATATACCCAATTCACAAAGCTTGACAGGATCGCTCCGAGATCGAATGACCAGCAACTGTTGTGAATTTCATGAATTTGCTTGCTGCAAAGCCGCCAAAAAAAATGCCGACTACGTCGGGATTGGTGCAGTGCCTATCTGCAAATAGCGCGACCGCAATGGCTCCCCAAGCCTCTCATTGCCAGTCTTCAACTCACTGCAAAGCCACGATCAGCATGCGTTGCATAGTCATCTCCAACAAATGCGAAAAGGATCAACATCCAAACAGGTTTACAACAAGCAGTACAGTTCTTGGCGCGTACTTAAGGCATCACGTGTGAGAAATTGGTAAAGACTGAAATAGAATGGCAAGTTTCTAAGGCACAATCACACACGCACATGCACGCGCAAACACTCACTTCCAACGCCAGCCTGCTTTAGCCAGGGTTGCAAGGGCTAGCCAAGAAACTCCACTCGGGCCATGTGCCGCAACAGCTCCAACAGCGTCGTCAATTTGTTTGTGAGCGAGATACTCCTCGGTTACTGAGCTAAGGTACTGGCCTCTTCTTTTGATTTGATCCTACTTGACTCAGGGCAATTGTCAGCATGAGGGCGTGCAGGGCCCACTCGGGACCGAAAGGCACATTGCATCTGGTGGCCAATGCCTTCAGCCAAGGCGCCTCAAAGGCAAGGGTAAGAATCGCTGCAATAAATCCTCCAAGGGGCAAGGTTGAGCTAAATACGCAAAACAAGCTTCGTTACTATAGAATAGGCATTCTGAAGTTCAAGAGCCAAGCACTGTCTCTATCTCAGTTCCCCCGGTCCAACCAAGGGGGACACGGACAGCGGCATCACGGCTGCTGGTGCACAAGATGCCACAAGACCGCCAATAACAGCGTTGGTAAGTTCCGGTACGCGCACCACGGTAGATCTGGTGTAGAGCATGGAAAAGCACATTCCTGTCAGACAAGATGGCAACGCTGCATCGGTCCACAGCCTCTGTGCAAAGCAAACTATGGCAACCAATGGTGCACAAGCTACAATGTTCATGGGCGTGGCGAGCGCTCAGCCTCCAATGCCACCACCCGCAGCTGCCAGTAAAGTCGTTGCAGAGGTGTGGGCAACTACCAAGTCCGTCCTCAGTGCCATAATGCTGCAACAGAGCAAACCTGCACGTGTTGGTTGGCCCGGGCTAAGTCCAGTCATCCGAGGCACCCCAATGTAGTGGCAAAAGTGGATGCCGGATTGAACGCGAGAAAGCCCACAAGCAGCAAGAAAGTTCCTGGGTGTGGCGTGGACGCAATGCTACCACAAATGGCACAGGACCAAACGCTTGCTTCGGCAGAGTGCTCCTTTCCGACAGCAGCCGAGAGTCCGAAAAGAAGCTGAACAGGATGGCGGCATTTGCGGAACGGTATGAACACCTTCTTCTCAACAGGATCCTTCCATTCTGATCCAGTCCGCTTTTTTGACTCAGACAAGGACTCCTGTAGCTTCGCTAGCTCAGCCAATTGTATCTCAATGACACTTGCAACAAGCATGTGCTACCTGGCTTGCACTCTTGCATAATTTGATAGGTTATCTGGTCCAGCACAATCCATTGCTGTTCTTCTACCAAGCCTGCGGCTCTCTGTAGTACTGGTCATCATGGTGCTCAAAGAAGATGATCTGAGACGTATCACCATATGCAACGCCAAATAGCATTTGCTCTCCAAGCATACAAACATACCTTTGAATAAAAAACACCTCTTGCCCAAATGATGGCTAGACACACTCCAAGGACGTGTCCACGCTCGGTACGACTTGAAGCGGCCGATGCGTGGGCCCAGAATGCAGGTCGAGACCAAAGCACTGACTGCACCAACCTGCTGTCAGAGACGGACCAATACGAGAAGCCAAGCAGACTCAGCAGACTCAGGCTGGTTGCATGCATTTCTGTGAGTACTCTTCTCTCAAAACGGGAAAATGGCACAAAGTTGCCTTGCCCTGCCTGATGCACCACCACGGAGCCTGCGAAATCGATGAAACCAAGAGACTGCAGCCAGCCATTGCCCCACGCCAGATATGCACAAATCCTGAGGCAACACACACGCTCAGCAAGGGGTGATACAGCAGCGTGCATAGTCACAAGGGTCACCCTGAACCAATTATTGATCCAGGCAAACATTCAAACACTCCCCATGCTGTTTGGTAGATTAATCATGTTGTCTGAGGGGAATAAGGCTAAGGATTCGTTGCAGTCAAGCGTGTCCTCTGTGCAGGCCAAGGCTCGGATACAGAAGCCCCGTCATGATGGTCGAGAGAAAGAGATATGGAAAGAAAGCCACGCGGCCCGCCAGGGCACCACTATTGATAGTTGCAGCCGTCGTGGCATAGGAAAAGCAGCAAAACCAATGCGCCAAGTCGAACCCAGCATCTGCAGGACCTGGCAATGCAATGAAACTGAATAGCAAAGCGTAATTAGCAAGCAAACAAAATGCGTGCCTGCAATCTGATGCGTGTCCCAGTATGCAATGTAGTAGCCGAAGAGAAAGAACGTCAATACACCTGAGGACCGAGTTTTCATCGTAACTTTTGAGGTGCACAGAGCTTGTTGTTGTTTGTTCCTTTGTGGGGCGAATGCACGCTGGCCAAGCGGATGATCTGCACGCCAATGCTATACCATACGTTTCCAGGACAACTAGCTGCTTCAAGGCTGATGCCAATTGCCGTACTCCTCTCCAAAGACGTATCAAATGTCCATCAACGCTAGCATTGCCATGAAGTTCATCGTGGCATTTATCGAGCTGCCTGCCTGTGGCTTTCAGTGCAAGGGCAAGGCGCCGATGCAAAGATCCAGCATGTTTTTCATCATGATGTTTGCCGCATTGTTGGGCTGCTGGTAGGCCGACCTGAAATCTCTCCCTCTCTCCCTCTCTCCCTCTCTCCCTCTCTCCCTCTCTCCCTCTCTCCCTCTCTCCCTCTCTCCCTCTCTCCCTCTCTCCCTCTCTCCCTCTCTCCCTCTCCCTCTCCTCTCTCTCTCCCTCTCTCCCTCTCTCCCTCTCTCCCTCTCTCCCTCTCTCCCTCTCTCCCTCTCTCCCTCTCTCCCTCTCTCCCTCTCTCCCTCTCTCCCTCTCTCCCTCAGTCCCTCTCTCCCTCTCTCCCTCTCTCCCTCTCTCCTTCTCTCCCTCCCTTTCTCCCTCTCTCCCTCTCTCCCTGTTGCCCTCTCTTCCTCTCTCCCTCTCTGCCTCTCTCCCTCTCTCCCTCTCTCCCTCTCTCCCTCTCTCCTTCTCTCCCTCCCTTTCTCCCTCTCTCCCTCTCTCCCTGTTGCCCTCTCTTCCTCTCCTCTCCTGATGAGTAGTCCACCCTTGTCTTACTGTCGACTCTTCCAAGTCTTCAGGACTTCAGCCAAGTTGCTCGAGCATGGCGAAGCCTGACTGCATTTGAACGATGCGCGCAGCCATGGTGACCTAAGCTCAGGCCCTTCGGTGGACCGGGAAACTATCGCTCCGAATCCTACAAGTTCAATAGCAAGTTGGTGCCGGCCAGGCAACAACGTAGACAACATCTGCACGGTGGTTTGACCGGAAAGCTTTGCACTCATCAGGGGCCGCGAATGTCATCTCTGCAATCCACCTGTGGCCAAAGAGGTTGGGAGCGACATGTTCCATTGGAAAGATTTAAAGCCCTGCCTTTCATCGGGCAGTAGTCCTGTGAGGTTCAGTTCCAGAGAAGCAGAAGACATGGCGACTAAGACAGCTCTGGGCTCCAGAGCTCTGCCCTCAGCGTTCTTCCCTGTAGCCACAATGCCGCGGCGTACTGGAGACTCCACTCACTCTGGCCACCGTGCACAAGGGTGTTCGGTCCCTGCCAGGCACAAATTGAATGTTTTGCAACAGCCTGCAGCTGAAGTAATCTCAGCTGGAAGACACACACACACAAGGAACCATTCTGGCTCTTGTGGTGTCGGCCCTGGTTAGAAAGCAAGCAAGGACTGCACTGCTTTCTTTCTGATGCTCAATCACCTGACAAGCATGTCTGCCTTGTGTTGGTCAAAACACCCGTAGAACAGCTCGGAAATCCGGAGTGCAAGAGTTCCAATTGCGACATCCTCTGGGCCTTCATCATGGCATTCAGGAAGTGAATTGATTTGAGTATTTATGTAGGGGACCTGACTTGCGACAAGGGGAGCTTACTGAGACAACATGTGCTGAGCTGGTCACCAAGCCCAAGGGAACAAGCCATGGCCAGGTTTTCTTGAATCGAATGACTACTGGCATTCTCCCCCTGACGTTTCGTCGCGCTGTTTGACATGCCAGCTCAATTTGTGCCTCCACACGATTTCCTGGCACGTTGCCGAAAGCAAGGAGCAAGACTGGGCGGCACAACTCCAGCAGCGCAGGCGTGGCTATGCAGGCACCCAAGTTTTGCAGCAAAATCTGCGCCTGGAAAGCTGTCTTGCATGGCTATACGACTTGCAAAAGAAAAGGCTAAACCCGCCATCTGTCCTGTCTTCAGCTTTTAGACCATGGCCGAGTGATGTTCCGCATAGTTCACCTGGTCACTGTTGAAGCAGACGTACTTCCGATAAAGTGCACAATGCATACTGCCTCTTGTGCCCTCTGCACACTTATGCACTAACTGCGTAATGATCAGTCCAGATCGAACGTTTGCTCAATTACAGGGCTCATGCGCAGGAAGAAGCATCTGGAAGGTCTTGCTGCTTGCAGTCTTAGCCCAAGCAAAGGCGGTTTTCCAAATGTGTGCATAAAGTATGGGCAATCTCCCGGTAGCCCCTGCCTTGTCGAGGACGTCGAAGTAGTTGGCCTCAGAAACCGAACAGGCATGATGCTGCGTGTCGCAAAAGTACCCCCACACTCAGGAGCAATGTTGCTGAAGCACCATGTGATTCGCAGCTTCACATCTTGCCTAGTATCTGCATCGCAAGTTGTGTAAGCTGAGTCACTGCGATCCATGCAATCCCGAAAGCCAAAGCCAGGAAGCAGCTTGAGCGGTAAACGAGCCTGTCAGGGCAAAAAAACGACCGGAAACTTCGGAAACGGTTCCAGCCAGGCTTGCGATTGCACTGGACAAAGCAGGCAGAATCTGCATGTCCAAGACACTTATGAAACGCGGTGTAATTGAGAGAAAGCAGTCGACTCTAGTCTGATGTTAGATCTGAAATGGCAGTGTTCAGCTGGCATGAAGCCATGGTTTTTGCGAATGCCGGCATAGGGCGTGATAGCACAAAAGTGCGTGCTGCGGCGAGCGGGGAAAGACATCGCCACTAATGCCAAGGTTGCATTTGGCATGAGGTCGCGTGAGGTCGCGTGAGGCCGCGCAACGTCGCGTAAAGTGTCGCGTGAGGTCGTATAGAGGGTCACGTACCTGATATAGGGTCATGTGAGGTGTCGCTCGAGGTCGCATAGGGTGGCGTCAGGTTGCGAGGTGTCATTAGGTTGTGTGAGGTCATAGTCGGGTGAAGTTGCATGAGGTCGTGCGTGAGATTATGTGATGTCGCGTCAGGTTGCCGAGCTGTGTCGCATGCGGTCGTACAAGTTTGCGATACTTCACATGACGTTGCAACGGTTGGTTGCATAAGGTTGCGCGAGGTGTCACGAACGCCTTTCATTCAAGTTTTTTTCACCGATCTTTCACAGATTCCTCGCCGCGCGTTTTGAGATACTAATTCTATCAGGAAGTCGCAACTCTTCAGTCAGCTCCGGCAAGATAGTGCCTGACATGCACTTCTGCAGCTCCAGCAAGCCAATTGCAAATTAGTGACACGGGAAGTTCCGGCTTCAACCTAGGCGCAAAGTGCGCAAGAGCGGCACACGAAGTACGCTTCCGTTTGCCAAATCAAAAACCACAAAGCTCAGCACAAGCATGGTGCACGAAGTGCGCTTCTGCAGCTCCGGCTCGAAAATCGCAACTTCTCAGCACGAGTGTGGCGCGCGAAGTACACTTCCGCAGCCCCAGCTCAAAATCGCAGCTTCGCAGCACAAGCGCGGTAATTGGATGACTGACTTGAAAGCTGCTTTGCACAAAGGCAAAGTGTCGTCAAAGCCCGTGGCTGCAGAGAGTACCTCTATGCGCCCGTCAATTGCACTGCAGGTCTAAGCTGCGCTCTGCCGAGGATGCGGACAAGAGCGTCGCGCAAGGCGGCACAAAGGACATAGCTCATGGACAAAGCTGTGGCCCAGGGACCAGCCAACAGGCTAACAGCTGGAGGATGCGCATTTGACAGCCCGACGTTATCACTCCCCAGTTCAATACATCCGCAACCGTTACCAACTAGTTTAAATAACTGACTTGACTTCACAACGCGCATGCAGTTGAACAGAAAGACGCAGCAAGAGCGCGCTTGCACGCGCTGGCAATTCACAATAATGTTTAAACATTTGAGACTTCCCCTCCCAGCTCTGCCGGGCTTTGCCAGTATTCAGGACTTGTCTGTGGCTATATCCTGCCTGGGGCTCACTGATGTGGCCAATGAACTCCTCGTGAGGCTAGCCTGATTGGCTTGGTAATTTTAAAAACGCAAAAAGCTAGTTTACCTTGCAAGTAACAATCAACCACAACGAGCAAGAGCCATTTGGGGCAGCACACAAGCGGCACAGGCTGAAAGGAAGGTCTGCGGCCACCCGTTTTGCATCTCAATGTCTCAGTCGCCGACCCATGCAGCTGCAACCAAGGCTGTGCCTGGCAGCAAACGCTGCCTGCGCCCTCTGCTTCAGCCAAAAAGGATTTCGCGCTACTTAAGTGATTGATGGCAGCATGCACCAGTTGCAGAAATGATACCCTAGGAAGCAAAGGTTGCCGGCTTCGGGTAACGCAAGCTATACCTCCTGCAACGTCAAATGGCGGCAGCGAGTTTCAGTACTGACTCTTCCCTCTGCTGAAATCTCCGTTGTTTGTTCATACCTGCGTGTGCGCACATATATTATCATTATTATCATGATCATTATTAGTACAGTTATTATTCTCTATTATCACACCCAGTATCATCATCATTCTATACGAATGTCTTTTATTATTATCATTATCATCAACGTGTACGTATATGTGTATGATTTTCCCATATTATATGTATATATATATATACATATAAAGGACGATAACTGATGTTCTCCAGTTTTCGAGGGAGACTGGCGCCTTCTGACTTCAGCACAACGCAGAACTGCATCCGTCCGTATGTACGTCTGTCTCAACGTCTTAATGTCTCAATGCCTGTTTGTCTGCCTGCGTGCCTGTCTGTCTGGCTAACTGCTTGCCGACCTTTCTGTCTGTCTGTCTATGCGCATGCATGTCTGTATGTCTGTATGCATGTATGTGTTTATGCGTACGCACGCACACATCTACTTGTTTGCTTACGTCCTTGTGATTGTTTAATCATTCATTTTTCTATTTATGTAGGTGTGATTAGGTGCGCCTACATACATATATATATATATATGTATTATTATACTCTGCATGTGTGACTTGCACACATGTACGTCTCTGTGGGTGTGATCCATCACACCTCCTCCGTCTGCACTGGGGTGGATTGCGTAGTACTGAGGAGCCAACCTCCGATTGAGACGACCATCGTGACCAGTACAAAGATGGCGGCATCTGGAGCAGGCAGGCGTCGCATCCACTCCATTTCGTGAAATGAAGCACGAATAAGACTCAAGTAAGACTTTCAAAATCTGAGATTAAGCGTGGGAAGTCCGACACTTGGCTTGTGGCTTTGGGCCGCGCCTAAAGCGGCCTTGCCTGCGAGATAGCTAAGCTGCACCAAACCCATGGGGCAGCACCTCAAGAAAATAAAACCCGCAGAGCGACACGCTCGGTATTTGGAGGGTTGCGGACTGACGCTGAGCACGGCACAGGCCTTGCAAAAGGCCCACAGCTGCACTCTTCACATCCCTGGCACCAAGCAGCACACTACGCTGGCTTGGCCACAGTCTGAGGTGCTGGGTGGAAGCCGTCCGCTCCCAGCCTGCCCTGCATGGCGTCCTGCTGAATCAGAGGTGTCGACTCCAGCACCTCCTGCAGTGCTGCAGGCAAAAGGCAACTGCTGCTGAGAAGATATCAAACATTGGTCAGGGTTGAGTCTTGTCAAAGGGCAGGCCTGGCAATGTTCCAGTAGAATGCAGAACAAGGCGGGCAAACAAGCAAAAAGACAAAGCAAGGCAAGGCAAAGCAAAGCAAGGCAAACAGAACATGAGCGAGGCGAGCGGGCGAGCGAGCGAGTGATTGTGCCAGACTTGCAGATTCTGCCCAACCCTTGTCATGTGGATCTGCTGTACTGATCTGATTGCACTGCCATGACAGAATTGTGGCGGAGCTCCCCACATCACAAAGAAACACACTTCTAGTGGGTGCCAAAGTTGCTCCAACCGCATCCACTTGCGCGCACAATTGCGCAAACACATGAGACTCCTTAAGTACACGGCTGCTATGCTCGTTCACGGCATCCAATCATGCATGGCTATGGTTTAATTACTCGAGCCATCAAGCAAATCGCGTGGGACAGCTGTGTGCTGAGAGTGAATGTTTGCGTGCGTGCGTGCGTGCGGGCGTGCGTGCGGGCGGGCGGGCGGGCGGGCCGGCCGGCCGGCCGGTGTGTGTGTGTGTGTGTGTGGGTGTGGGTGTGGGTGTGGGTGTGGGTGTGGGTGTGGGTGTGGGTGTCTGTGTGTGTGTCTGTGTGTGTGTCTGTGTGTGTGTCTGTGTGTGTGTGTGTGTGTGTGTGTGTGTGTGTGTGTGTGTGTGTGTGTGTGTGTGTGTGTGCGGAGTGGCAGAATACCCTGCC